CAGACAGCTAAATGTAATGTGGCATCCTGGATTGGGTGCAGGTGAAATTTGAATGATGTCTGGAATATAATCAATAATAGTAAAGTACCCATGAGGGTTTCTTAGTGTTGACAAATGTATCACAGTAATGTAAGATGATAACATTAGGGATAACTAAAACCGAGAGACGGATACATGCAGAACTCTGTGCTGTCTTTGCAACTTTTCTGTAAGTCTAAAATTATCCCAAAATAAAAATTTTAAAAAAGTAAAAGCTTTCTAGTAGACTTGCTTCTCTCAGAAATGACCTCATGACAAACTTAACCCTTTCATTATCCCTAAAAACATCAACCCCTGTTACTTTTGACAATGTTGGTTATTAGGAATTCCACAAGTATAAGATACAAGTATGGGTAATTATAGCAGGAAAAAAGTAAATGTCCAAAGTGCATATGCAGATAGATCTAAACATATGCTGTTGTTTTGTTACTGTAAGATATAACAAATTAGAAAAAGAATTCAGGAAATTGAGGCCAGCCTCCATTCTATGTAGCTTTCATAAGACCATAATTAACTTCTCCCCATATATAGCATCATAAACATTATTTCAAGAGGTTTCTGAAAAGATCTCTAAAATTATCAGAGAATTCACATTTCAAGAATACCTAGAGAAGGGAAATTAATCCTTCATATGGTTCAAGTGTAAGTATTTGTTGAAATATTATTGCCTATACTAAAAAAGCATGATTCTTTGAGTGCCTACTATGTGCCAAGTAGCATGCTAGCCAATTTACAAAATCATCTTCGATCTGTTTAGCTTTGAAAAGTAAATGTTGTTTTCTGATTTTCAAGAAGAGCAAATTAGGGCTCCAGAAGACTTCACCCAGGATGACAGCTAATATAGGATCAAACTGGTATTCCAACTCGACATATTGTGGAAATATGCACCAACGACGACAGAAGAGATTTAGGTAAAATAAGAAAAAATTTTATGACAGTAAGAGACGCTAAACACTTGGGTAATATCTAAACAATGCAGGCAATTTACATTCATTAAATAATGGAAAGAGGATGCATCTGAAATCACTAGACACAGATTCTCCCACTCACTCATTGCTTTTGTTTGTTCTTTTGTACATTCAGCCATGTAACAAGGGTAAAGCCAGACACGTCGGTTCGGGTGATTCAAGTTTAAGTCCCAGCTCCTGTCCTTTCTAACTGTATGACGAAGCTGGTCATTTATTCTGAAATTGTTTATCATTTATAAAATGCAATAACAACATTTGCCTTAGCTATGTCAGAGATATTTATGTGTCAAAGAAAATATATCAAAACTTTTTATAAACTATAAAGTTCTATTGAAATGTTTTATGTGTCATCTACAAAATTCCTTGACACCCTCTCAACCCTAGAGTTACAAGGAAATGGTAGGTAAGTTATCAACAAAATATTCACCTCAACTCGACAAATATTTATGAATGTGAATCTAGGCAATTAACCAAGACAAAGAACACTGAGCTCAAGAAAAATTAGTCCTGTACTGCTAATATAAAACATCTTCTCAGACTGAAAACAAACACAAGAAATTGGAAATTAGGTGGCTTAGTGAAGAAGACAAAACATTCACCTACACACGATAATCAGTTTAAGCAAGAGTAAGTTAGGTAATCCCTTTTAAAATACAAAGGTTAGCTTGTATACAATGACATCACAGATCAACTATTATCCTAGAGGCCAAGACATAGGTCCTGAATAAAGCAGAAAGTACGTACAATCCATTCAAAGTGTTGTATTTTGTGTTCTTGCAAAGAAAATAGCTCATATTGTCTGCATATTTTTATCTGGCTAATGAAAAAATACTACTCATTTTCCAAGAATGTTGTTCAACAAGGTTCTTAAGCAAAATAGTATTAATAAATCTAAAATAAGAGCTACAAAGTAAAGCAGGAAAGAAAAACTTACTATCATCTCATTCGTAAATATATTAGCATCTTCTCATGAATAAGGAGAAAGTGGAATTCCTAAATTCTCAAACCGTGATGTAATATTGGTTTTATTGATTCTCTACAATTTCTAGGAGTGCCCAATCATTATTTTGACAGTTTTATCATAAAGTAATAGATTTCCTTTTAGATAATTGCAGTTACCACATTCAATTTCAACCTTCCACAGGATTTTTTCCTAGATACAGCTTCACTGTCTGTCCTAGATCACATTACTTTCTTTTTATAGCTGTATACACAAAGCATTTTAGGTGCTACACCTAATTATGTCAGCACAATAACAATTTAAAAGCTCATGATTAAGATATAGAGGTTAAGCACTTGTATGTTAAGGCTCCTTTTTACAAAGACATATAGTGCTATGTGACATAAGTAAATGAATTGCACAAGCACTTAAAAGTGTGTTGGAGGGTTACAAAAAACAAGAGGTCTTTTTGGGTAAGTTAGGGAATTTGATGAGTCTGTCCAGGCAAGAACATTTGTTACCTAAAGTAATGACTTGCAAGCTTTCTGACTCATGTAAACAAGTTGTCACATAACTTTCAGAACACAAAACTGTGCTACAAAATACAATTTTCCATAGGGAGGTGGTTTAGCAGAATTGTTAGGAACATGGGCTCTGGAATCATTGTCACTACTCAATGCATGACCTGCAGCAAATCACTTAAGCTCTGGGTCCCTCAGTTGCCTCATCTGCAAATGGGGATACTACTACTTGACTTATAAAGTTGTTATGAGGAATAAATGCACAGCAGGTAAAGCACTTAGAAAGTACCTGGTATATAAAATGTGCATATAAGTATCAAATATTAGCATTGCTAATTTGAACTGCTTTAAGCAGCTGATAACCAAACAAAGACATGAGAAAACATCAAAACTGACAGCTCATCTAAGGCAGTCCATGGAGGTGGCAGAAACATAATGAGAACCAAGAAGCGAGCTATTCATGGAATAGGAAAGTTTGGGGCACTCTAACCCGGGAGAAAAAGAAAACTGAAGCGCAGGAGTACTTTGTCGAAAGAATGAATTAGGCTAAAAGGAAATCTAAATGCAGATGTTAAATTGGTGTCTAAGGATGAAAATCAAATGGGAGAAAATATCACATGATTCAACAGAGATAGACACAATAGGCACAATATAACCAAGAACATTGTCCTGACAATCTTGCAGTCTCTGGCAAATGCGTATGTACAGTGAGGGGAAGGGGCAAGTGTTGGCGGGCATGGGATACAGATAAAGACCGGTAGACTGCAGAAAGGAACAACTACAAAGAGGCTAGGTTTAGTGGCAAATGAACTTAGCTGTAAAATCCCCTGAAAATATTAGTCATAATAATTCTCAGTCTCGTACACTTCATCAGTGGGGGTAGAGGAGAATTACTTGGTTTCTATATTCCATAATTTCCACAATTCTACTCAATAATTATGAAATTGTCAGAAAACAAGACTTCGTGTCTAATAGCCTCAGGCAAAAATTCTATCTCCTAAATTCACCATTTTTTTTTTTTTTTAAAGAAGTAAAATAGGCTGGGCGCCCCAGTGGTTCATGCCTGTAATCACAGCACTTTGGAAGGTGGAGGTGGACGGATCACCTGAGGTCAGAAGTACGATACCAGCCTGTTCAACATGATGAAACCCCATCTCTACTAAAAATACAAAAATTAGCCAGGCATGGTGGTGCACACCTGTAATCCCAGCTACTCGGGAGGCTGAGGCAGGAGAAGCACTTGAACGTGGGAGGCGGAGGTTGCAGCAAGCCAAGATCTTGCCACTGCACTAGAGCCTGGGTGACAGAGTGAGACTCTGTCTCAAAAAAAAAAAAAAGTAAAATAAGAACAGCCCTTTCATTAAAAAGAGTAATTCAATTACGCATCCACAGTAACTACTGCTCTTAAGATAAACAAAAGTGCCCCTATTAAGTTAATGTGTTTCTAAAGAAGAAAAACAAGTCAGCGTGGTTCTGCTGGTTCTGCAATAAATATCCTGGAACAACAAAAAATGTCAATGCTCAATACCCCATATAAACCCAAACATAAGAAATATAAACTAAAAGAGGGGTTTTCTTATGTATCAATTTACATAAATGAAAATATGTTAACTTCTAAGAAAATGCCACTGTATTACAAATATTAAAAACTTTCTTTAAACAGAAAAAATTACATGAAATCAGGATTGTACCAGAAAATTTAGTGTACATAAGCACCATACATTAATAATCATTTTTTACTTCAAGAGTCTTCTTAAGACAAAAGCTCCAGTGGGGGTGGGAAAAATCTTTTCTGTCCACATGAAGCAACATGTATCATCAATCCTTGATTCTGTGTCTCTCTTCAGGTTGTGGACAAACCCTGCAATCTCTTTAGACCTTCCTCAGCTACTCTTTCACCATCCTCTTTCTCTACCCTAACAACTTGTTCACTGATCAGTTTGCTTTTTATATAAATTTTCTTCACAAATAGCTGAGAAAAGTAAAAGGGAAAGAACATTAACAAGTAAAGATTTTCTATAGTAAGCAGGATTTATAACTTAGTAAAATATCAACAATAATAGCCAAGGTAGATTATTTTTGAATTTCAAGTAACCATCCTCTGCTGTACCCACAATCATGGGTAATAGAGTTCATTAACTACTACTGACTACACTTTACACTATAAAACATAGTTGAAGTCTAATTTCCAACACTGAGCTTCCTGAATGACAAAATCTTTCAATACCATCATTAATATTTACCACACAATGCATGTACTCTTATATGTCTTATCCAAACTAGCAAAAAAAAGTTATTTTCTCATCTCACTAGTTGTAAAATGCAGGTTAATAAACAGATACAAGAAAATGCCTAATCAAAGATACAACTTTTATCAACAAAAGCACAGATTCCAAAATAAGTTCATTCCTACTCCTAGAATTCCATCTGAATTGTCTAGATCAACAAGTTTCAAAAGATACAATGGAGTTTTCAAGAAATGGAAAACCTAACAACATGTAGAAGCTTAAAAATCTTTTAAATAAGACTTTATGTTTTAATATTTTACAAGAATATAAAAAGCACCCTCATACAATGCATAAGGAAACAATATTTCCTACTTAATAAATGTGTAATCAATAAACAAGAGGCTTACAAAAAGTTGGAAGCATTATCCTCTAAAATGAGCTACAAAAGCTCCATGTATTCGCTTCTCAAATCAGGTATTCATTCTTAAAATACATAGCTACCATGCAAATGAAAATTTAATTATTAATAATCTTGTGGATTAAATAAACACTTGAATAATTAAGAATTAAATGAGGGTTCACAAGTAGAATGCGGAGTGCTTCCTTGTATTTGAAGTGTCTTAGAAAAACCATTCCATTCATACATGATTCACAAATCTAAATATGGGATTCTGAGAAAGCAGACCACATTTCCACCTTTATGAAACTCTTCTATAAACTGTGGTCTGGAAACTGACTTTAACAGCCTGAACTTAATTCAACTTTTTTCCTTTTCTTATTCAAAGCAATTCTTATTCCTCTTAGCATGAGATACCCTAGTTTTAAATCTCAGACACATCCTGGGTTCTTTTTACTTCCTCACTGCCAGTGTCCAGTAAATTGTCATGTCTATAGACTTTATTTCCTTTATTACTTTCATTGTAAACCCTAGTTCAGACCTAAAGTTTGCTAAAGATAATGCAATGCTTATTAGTTGTTCTTTCTCACGATACTCAGAATTTCCCTACTTCAAGCCATTTTACAGTGTTGCTGGATCATCTTCAACATTGGTTCTTAACTGCTGTCAACAACACATAGTTCTGTGTCATGATCTATTACAAGGTGAGCTGCAAGCTATTTATAACTAATACCAAATCTATTTATAAGTACTTTTAAATAAATAAGAGTTGATTTAGTTAGTCCTGTAATATTACTCTCTGTCAAGTGTATTCCAGTTTGCCTTCTTCAGTGGAAAAGAGGTGGTGAAGTAACAGAAAAGTGCTAGGAATTATACAAATCCTGGTTATCTCTAGGCAAATAATATGGTATTAGACCATTCTCATGCTGTTAATAAAGAAATATCCAAGTCTGAGTAATTTATAAAGGAAAAAGATTTAATTGATTCTCAGTTCAGCATGGCTAAAGAGGCCTCAGGAAACTTACAATGATTGGAAGGGGAAACAAACATGTCCTTCTTCACATGGCAGCAGGAAGGAGAAGTGCTGAGCAAAGAAGCAAGAGCCCCTTTAAAACCATCAGATCTTGTGAGAACTCACTATCACAAGAACAGGAGCATGGGGGTAACCACCATCCTAATTCAATTACCTCCCACCAGGTCCTTCCCACAACAAGTAGAGATTATGGAGAACTACAATTCAAGATGAGATTTGGGTGGGGACACAGGCAAACCATATCAGACACCTTCCATATCTGTCTTGTTGAAAAGCACTGTCATAACAAAGTAAAATAAAAGCTCTAATCATGTCAGTCCGCTATTCATAACCATCAGTGGCTTCCCATTTCCTGTTAATTTAAATATAAATACCTAGATCTGGATTTGAGTATCTTCTATCATAAAACCCCAACCGAATTTGTCCAACTTTAATTCCCACTAAGATTGTACATAAAAGCTTTCCTTTGTTCATAGAGTCTGTCTTAAATTGTCTTCTCTTGAAACCTCAATCGTTGAGGCTTCCTCTAATTCCACAAACTAGAATTCTTTAGAGGTAAAAATATCTCTTCTTTGACTTCTTTGGACTCATATGAAGAAGAACATGTTTGTTTCCCCTTCCACCATCACTTTAAGTTTCGTGAGCCCTCCTTAGCCATGCTGAACTGAGAATCAAATCATTTTCCTTTATAAATTACCCAGACTTGGATATTTCTTTATTAACAGTGTGAGCATTGACCAAATCTAAATCTAATCTTAGATTACCTAATATTAAGCTCATTCAAAAAGTGAGAACGAAACTTAGAAATCCCATCAGGGAAAACATAATCCCATTTTGGTGTGTGTGGGGGTGGGGGGGATTATATACATTATGTTGAGTCTTTTTCAGTCAAAGAAGATATGTTTTTACCTCTAAAGGCACAGACAGAATTATAAGTTGGGCATCCCAAATCCGAAAATCTGAAATCTGAAACGCTCCATAAATTTTGTGAGCATTTTGGATTTTGGATTTTGAATTTTTAATGCTCATCCACTAAGTATAATTAAAATATTTCAAATTTTAAAAAATCTAAAATCTGAAACACTTTTGGTCCCAGGCATTTCAGATAAGGGATACTTGATTTGTGTTAGGTACACACATGACATATTCTACTAAACTATGAGTTCTTTGATGAGTTTTATTCTTTATTCCATCCACTGTAGCTCCTAATATAGTACCTGAAATATAGTTAGGATTCAAATAGCTCTTGACAATCTGCAGATCAAAGAACATGAATTCCAAATGAATTAATATACTTGTGTTATCAGAAAGGGACGACTCAAAGTCTAATCAGATCCAAGAACCTACTGGATGCTTTCTCACACTTCTTTCTACTAAACTCAGAGTTTTCAAGATGATTGCCTGTCGTCTAAAGGCCTAAAATACTGGCAAAAAGTGTAAACTAGCTTATTTGAAAACTAAGATTAAGCTCATTCAAAAAGTAAGAATGAAACTTAGAAATCCCAACAGGGAAAACATAATCCGATTGTGGTGTCTGTGTGGAGGGGCTGATTATAAAACACATTTTGTTGAAAATCACATACTCATAAAGAAAACAAAGAATGCCTACAAAACATTCATCTTCACTGCAAATTACATGTATCTGTACGGCTCAGTTTTTTTTTCTTAATTCTATTTATTTATTTTTATTGTACTTTAGGTTCTGGGGTACACGTGTAGATCATGCGGGATTGTTGCATAGGTACACACATGACAGTATGGTTTGCTGCATAGCTCAGTTTTAAATGATGTGACTATTAACTTTGGTCTATCCCAAAGCCAGAAAGATTATACAGCCCTATGGAAGACAGCAAAGGCAAGCTGTATGAAATCTCCAGGACATAAGCAAAATCATCAGTTTATAATGAGGACTGAGGTATTTTCTCAATGGTTCTTCAAAAATTTTAATCTGCTTTAGGTTCAGGCTCAGGAGCAGTAAACACTGTCAATTTATAATTTTACTATAATGTCAATCTCCTTATTAATAATAATGCTCACCTTATCAGTTATAGAGGATTGATTTATAAAAGGACTGAACATTTAGACAATTTTATCCTGCTTAAGGATATTTCCAATATCACGTCTACTCAGAAAATTTTCATTAACAGCTTTCTATACTTACAGAGTTTTCATTAACAGAGGTTTCCTATACTACTCCTAGTACATAGTCACCATTATTCATGCAAAACTTACCTCATTTACTCATCACTCACTCACACATTTAACATTTGAGAGTCAATAGGGAGCAGCACCTGTGCTAAAATCAGGGAGCATTGAACAATAACAAAAAAATAGGTAAAATCACTACCATTCTTGTAAAAGTTAAGATGGAAAGGTGATCCCAGAGGTAGATTATAAATCGTGGGATTAAAATTTAGGCTTCTTTTAGCAACTCAGTCTGTAACTAGTCATCAGTTTCCAATTATACTCTCAGAGCAATTAGAAATGGTATAAAACAGAAAAAAAATATGTATGTGAATACTTTGATACTTAAAGGATTTGTTAAAAATATAAAAACTCACTTAAAAAAAAAGCAGATCCAAATAGAATCTACCTATTACTCATTATTAATCATAACATCGTTGGTCATCCTCTGCTAGGACGAAAGGCGGCCGAGTGGGGTAGGATTCAATCACTTGGACTGATGGCATGATGAGTGAAGAACTCTTCTTCTCCTGCTTTTGCCCAGGTCTCTGATGTGACAGGAAAATCTGCAATCCTAGTCTAAAAGCATTTCCCCAACAATTATTCCAACTGCTACTTTATTCAGTGTAATGCGATAAAAGGAGTTGTTGACGAGGAGCTGGAAGCCTTGAGTGTGAGCACCAGCACTGCCATCTACTTCACACCGTTTGCTGCCACTCCATTTACAACTCACCTGTACACTGGCCTCTGATGCTCCACCCACCTCCCTGGGTGATTCCAAGGCCACAGAGAACCAGAGATGCTAACTGTTCTCTCCCAGAACAGCCTAATTTCAGATTCCATTCAGATTTCATGAGGAAAAAAAAAAATGGCATGATATGGATAAATTTCCTCATACTGTCTAATTTGGGAGGAAGAAAAATAATTCAATTGAACAGATGAAACTTGGAATCTGGGTTCTAGGGCCAGCTTTGTATAATAATAATCACAGGATGATGGACAAGGCACTTACACTCAGTCCCTGTAAAGCTCAAATCAAAATACCTATCCTATCAGTAAACTAGTTTTGTTGTGAGGCTAAGCAACAATACAACACAAAAGTAGTCTAAAAGGCTATAAAACATTACTAATCAGGGCAATAACAAAATATTTACGACAAAATTGCCATCACAAGGGCCACTTGGGTTTCTTTTTAACTACTGAGACACTAGACAGAATGTACACATCAAACCCTAAAAATTATCCCATGAGAAACCCAACAGCACTCCTTAAAGTGGGTGTTTCTAAAGTATATGTTGCCAAAATTACATGGCTTATATGTCCCATGCTATTAGCTATACCTTTTTACAGAAGGAAAAACCATTTAAAACTGAGCATTGATCTAGTAAATACATAGTACAGTAAATACAAGCAACAGTAAATACAAAGTACACTCCACTTCCAAAAGAATAGGATTTTTGCCTGATTTCTAGTTTTAAGAGGAAAAAATTAAAAATACAAGCCAAGACTGAGACTTGCAGCTCATTAAAGCTGAGGTGATTTCCCCTATATAGAATTCTATTGATCTCCATAGTCCACACTAGACAAAAAGTGTGGTCAGGGAAGGGGGTGATGGATGCCTCTGCCAATAGCACTGAACAAACCTGTTAGCTAATTGCTACCAAAGACAATTATCCCCGCATTGTTTCAT